ATATTATTGTAGTAATAGTAGATTTTTTTATTTATTAGGATTAGTAAAATTCAATATCTATATAAAAGTCTACATGTTAAATTGTGGATTCTATTGAAAATATATAAATTATCATAAATCCTTTTCAATTTATCAAATTTTGTTGAAAGGTCTTGAAAAATTTAAAGCCACTAGAGGACTTGCAAAAATGAAATTTATGTATATACTTGGTATTATAAAATTTACATTTATATCCGTATTTAAATTACAATTATACGATACGATCACACTATCTTCTCAAAGGCATTATAATTAAATTATAATAGTATATATACATATATATAAACAAGAGAGTATTTATGTTGCGATAATATTAACCATAATATTAATTATGATTAATTGATATTGTGATTAATGATATTAATCATACTAATGAATATGATTAATTGTAATATTAATAATAATAATTATAACAGTTTTAGAGATTAAGTAAAATACGTTGCATATTCTGCACTAGATTCTTTATCATACGGTTACATCATTCTTTCACAGGAATTTCGCGAAAACAGAAAAATTACGAAATGAACTGTTAAATGTGGGAATGTCGTGTGATATCGATGCTAGATTGCTTCATGCGTATTGCTGATTCTATAAATGCAATTATGGTGCAGTGATCTTATGATACAAATTCTATGACCCATCCATCTCTCTTATACCATTGGTAATTCCTACAGGTCTCGGCGCCTATCCACTTTCCTCGATTCATCGTTGAACTTTGATGGACTGCGAAGGAAGGGCGATTAGAGGAAATCTCTTGTAAGTGCGTCATGTGATATTTTTTGATGTACTAAACTTGATTTATCAATGATTTTTTTCAATCTTTGACTTTACATTTGTTTGTTATACGAGAAGAAAAAGAAGTGAAAGGGAAAATCCGTAATACTGTCGAACCTTGATGACTCGAACCTCAAGAGGAGTGCGAAATCTTTCAATCACCGAGATTTTGTTTTATCGAGTTTTTCAAGTAAGAGAGTTTTAGGAAGAAAAATATGATAGTTTGTTACCGTTTGTACGTTGCAAATACGTCTTGGATTATTAGTTTGCTTTAGTTTGCTCATCAAATCTGATGGATTGAAATTTGAAAATATTTTATATATCGCAATACAATATGAATGTAACAGTTTTCTAAGGTAAGCGTTCAAATTAGTTTTGCAACGAGTCAGTGTATTCTGACTTGTGGAGGTTTTTTACAGCAGAATGGAAGAAAATGAACGACATTACAGTCCTATAGAGTATAGAGGATCGAGTCATCAAGGTTCGACTGTGTAATTCTTATTAAAATAAGGACAGAGGATAAAGTGACTTTTGAGAAGAATTATATTATTCTAAATTTCACTTTTCGCGATTATCTTCCTTTTTTATTCTTAGTTCGGTTTTTCTTTTCGTCGCAAAAGGCTGAAACTACTGTTTCGCCGGATGTGGTTGGGTCTCAAGCCTTGGAAAACATAGTTGCGCGGTGTCGTGTGGCGCGCAGCTGCGATAAAGTGTCGACGTACGCGCAGCTCGTGCTTCGGGGTCTGTTATCGCGAAAAAAGTGCATTTAATGTGTTCGTCTCGGCGAAGTTGTGATAAATCGCGGCGAAACCACGCGTTTTAAAGGCGCATCGCGAATCTGGTATGATTCGGTTCGCGGTGAACTTTACTCCGAGTAACAGGCCAGAAACAACGCATTCTCTTTTTCTTCTTCTTCTCTTTTCTCTTTCTTTCCTCGTTCTTTTCTGTTTCGTCTCTTTTATTATAGTTTACTTTTCAACGATTCCTTTTCTGCTTTTCAGTCCATTAAATTACATTCATTTTTCAAATAAAATAATTAATTTAAATTAAATTTTCGGTTCTCTCCATCATACTTTGCCTTTTATCTTAATATTTAATTTCTCTTAGTTTCCTTTCTTTTGTTTGATTTAACTTTCCTTGTATTTTCTTTATCTTCCTCTTTTCATCCTCCTTTTTCTTTTTCTTTAATTTTCACATATTTTATTTCTTCCACCAAAATTTGTAAGAAAAAGCAATGATTTCGACTGACGAATTTGATCGCATTGTTACGATATTATCGCATAATCGATTGAAAGTATTAGACAAACGGAGGTTCTAATTTTGGATGAAGATATAGGGTCTGCAGATTTAAAAACGAATTTTTTAAAATATGAATAATTATAAATTTTACAATGCGCCATTTACAATAATAATAACAAGGATCGTTTACTAACATTCAATGAAGATCCTTATATCGATTAAAAATACTTTGAAAGCTGCAGAAATAGATAAATATAAATCATTCGTCTCAAGAATACAAATAAGAACAATTCAGTTCTTTATGCGTATTTTTCGAGCTTATCATTTTAGAATAATGACGAACGACGTCCTGTTCTTTACGTTTCTCCGATTTTACCGTCGAAATTACTTTTAAAAATAATGTTCGTAAATAAATCATCACCATTCTTATCGTTTGGCATTTAACTAATCAGGCAAGTGTTTGAATTCTACACTAAACGATGTAAAATTTTCTTAACATTCTCAAGAAAATTTCACGTGCAATTGGAAAAAGACACCTCGATCTTGGAAGGATTAGAATTATAAAATGACAATTCAGTAATATTCTTTAAATGAAATTTTCACTGTCCATGATACAATTAATCGAAAAAGAATTCGATTCTAAAAGGGACGAGTTCGAAAATGGGAAGAATATTTTTATAAAATTGCTATTATTCATCATATACATAGTAAAATGTCAGATGCAATTGATTCTGAATCTGCACAGATTCTTTTCTGTATCATATATGTACGTAGATATCTTTATGCCATTCAAAGAATATTATTCGAAACCTTCTACGGCTGACGAAGCAATCTGCAACTATAGACGTAGATATTGTATTAAGCAGAATATTATCAGGTTATCATTCACTCGATCTGGTTAGAACGTTTTGTACACGTACTCTAACGTTTCGCAAACGAATTATCTGCTACCTAAGAAGTAACTACGTGAACGTAAATAGTCGTCACCTTTATACAACGACACGTATTATACTAAGTATATGCTTGCATGGTTGGTACGCGAGAAAACGTAGGAAGGAACGGGGCCAAGCAGCAATCTCTCAGAGTTGTTGGTCTTTTTTTTTCTCTCTATACGATAAAAGATTCGAATCAAAGTTCAAGAGACCCATGGTCTCTCGATCAATCGAGTTTCCAGTGGTCCTTGATAAGAAAATACCGTAACCGCTAGTGTCCAAAAACATATTTTTACTCCCGCGAAGCGTACATTTTTTAGGGTTCTCAAACTGAATAAATCATAATTTTGTGAGAAATTTGACAGAAAATGAAATTGGCAGAAAATGAAATTTTTATTGGCGTGAATCATTATTTTTTTTATTGAAAGACTTGGAGCACTATCTAGTTAATTATTTTTCTTTTTACAAATGAAGATCGGTCGGAAGAAATATATCACAGCCTAGCCTCGTTGATCTTTCGATTTTTAATTGTTCAATTTTTCAATTCCAACAGAAGAGAATTAAAACTGTTAGTGATACGAGAAACCATTACAATTTTATAAACGTTGAATATACGAATGAATAGTATGAACGTACCGTATAATAGTTTAAGATAGACGACTGTTACGAACATAATAAGAAATATTTAGTACAGAAGTTAGTAATAATACTCATTAAACGAAGAGAAGATGTATCGATCAATTCCGCACATTAACGAGTAAAGAGTAAAGGTATCGATAATGTTACAAGCACTGCTGTTTTAAATTTATTTTGTGATTTACCACTGTCCGTGCCATCTTCCTGTGATAAATAAGCTTATGGAAGCATATCGCGCGTTTTTAGAGAAGTTAAATACTAATCACGTAAACAAGAACGATAAACTTTTTGAATATTAATTTACCCATTAACAATATCAGTGAATAAATTACGAGTTGTAGGTGTAGAATATAGACTTCTCCTTTACAAAGGTAACGATCGACTAACACGTAAAATTGAGCACATTGTGATTCCTTTTAAACAAATTAGGCTTAGTTTTCGAGAAAATAGACTTTGAAAATTTATCGAGTCTACAGGAACCTGGCTAATTGCTGACTAGGTAAAATTAAATAATCGATAGCAGTTTGTTGTACGTGTGAAAATAAGTTAAAAACGTAAAATACAATTTTTTCACAAGGTGCTTTTTCTTCGAGAAAAATAAATTTGAAAAGTTGTCATACTCGTCAATTAGGTCAATTCTTAACTGAACACGTTCAAACTCTATTTTCTTGAAAATATAACCGAGAGTGAAAACACTTTATTCTATTATATCTATTATTCTATATCCTTTTTTCACGAGGAATCAGGTCGTGCCCAGTTCTATAGCACAACTCTACGATTTTATGTATTTTTCTCAATTCTACGTATCTAAAACTAAATTAACTCGAATATTTGAGATACACGTTGTTTGTTACGTTGCCACACGATGATAGCGCACATCAACTGGCATGAATTTTTTCGACCATAGAAAGTTGGCTTATCTATAGTGTAACTGACATGCGAAGAAGTCGATAGTCATATGTGTAATTACGATGTAATTACTTCCTTTTCTGTCTTTGTTTGATGTATGCTTTCTTAACCTGCTAAATACGAGGATTTCATAAATTAAGTAAGTTGTGAGAAAATTCATAGTTATTGGAACGAGATATAAGTAAGTTAAATTAAATCTGTCCTTGTTTAAATAAACAGATAAGTGTGTATATGTATTTGTTAGATGCGTAAATCTAGACCAAATTAAAATTTTATACCACGGTGTTCTTTTCGAACGATGCCAATGTTTAAACGCAATCCGCTTTGGGTTTGCCATAATATAAATAAAATAATGAAAGAAAAAGATGACGTGTTAAATATGTAAATAATAGGAAAACCTACGGAAATATCGTTTCCTTTTTTTCTTCGTGTAGTTTGATTTGTCAGGTCGATTACAAACGCGTATTTTGCTTATCGCCATTTATTTATTACATTCAGATACTTTTATCGTAAATTATGCAAACATAAAAAACATCATGGGTAAGAGTAATACATACAAAGTAATATATACATCACGCACATAACATATTAATATTGTCTATTTACAGAATTCAGTGATTTAATCTATTTGCATTTTACGCTCGTTTTCTTCCAATATGGAATCATTATGCTTTTGCGGTAGGCTGTCGAACAATTGTATCTCGTAGACAGGTTTTCCATCCTCGCTGATCCATATACTTCCGTTCTGAGCGCATCTCACCACGTAAACCAGTCCGTGCGCCACGCTGTCCACTCTGATACAATAAAGCGGCTTGATAATAGTAATAAGGACATAGAAATAACGACAATAAGAAAAAAGGTATTAGATAAAGTTGAAAAGTTAGCGTCAATTTTTAGGTGAACGTTGCCAAAGTGTGTAATTAATGCTCGAATTTTAGCTTCAAAGAGTCTTTCAACAGTCATAAATGCAAAAATCCATTCTGCTCTCCTTCATCTTTGAAATATTATAATTCTCAGAAAAACCCAATCAATCGCAACAAACTTATTCTCCAAATAAAAAAGATACAAGATTCTCCAAATAGAAAAGATACAAGATTCTCATTCCAATATAATTCGAATATTTTCTTAATTATTCGAAGAACACGCTCTGCCAAAATTCTTCCAAACTTTGGACCTAGTTTCAAAACCAAATATTTCTGTAATTGTTACTTCGTTGAAAATACCTTCGGAAATATTTCTGTATCAGTTGATCTTGCGACGGATTTACTTCTGAATTTTTTACATTGGACATTTGAGAAAGCTCGGGACACAGCACTATTATCCTTACTCCAGTCCTTTCGTAATGATAAGGTTGCTGCAAAATTACCATCGAAATTAAGTGTCGACAGGCATGAAGTTGAGAATAACTATGTACGACGTTTCTCGATGAACCATAACGTACCGCGAACGAACGGCTGAAGCTAACCACTGCATGTTTCGTAGCGGAATATACTGGAAGCTGAGATAAAGAATACAGACCAGCCACAGACGATATATTGACGATAACACCGCCTTTGCCACCGGAGTCCTTTTGCATTTGTTGGATTCCTAGAAGCGTCGCTCGTATCACCGCTGTCTACGCAAATCGATCTCAATTAACGAATTGCAACAATAAATTCTAAGACGTTCGATATCATCGATATTACGCTGTTTCTGATCAGTTTTTCCTGAATGAAATGCTAGATATTTTTCGTTTAGTCGCAAGATTTTATATATATACAGTTAATAATTATTCATCGTTGAAATTATTTTAATGCGATAGAAAATCATATAATTATTCAAGCTATTTTACCTCGTTTATTTAATTTACTTTTAATTTCGCTGAAACTCCTAGGTTTTAACTTTTACATTTATGCGTTATCTTTCTTTCTATCTTGTTTGTTAATTTATTAGTTAAATAATCGAGAATCCGAGATAACAGAAATGTGAAAGAAACTTGAATGGTTCCAGCCATCGTCTAGATCTCTGATCCTAAGCTCTCTATTCTGTTGCAAGAATATTACATTCGGACAAACGTCGTGGTTCTTGCTGTTGCTTACCACGTTTACATCGATGGTTTTAGTGAAATCGCTCTCGTTAATGATACCAGCATTGTTCACTAGAATCTCCAGACCGCCGAGTGTCTTCACAGCTCTCTTGAAAGTATCTGTTACTCAAATCAAGCATAATTTAACGCTACTATTTTTCGTAGATTCGAAGGAACAGGTATTTGGATAGTTGATTAAAACGTAACGTGAATCAATAATTAATCGACGAGTATCTTAACAAATATGCTAATAATCGAAATAATCTGTAATGATTTATACGGTACCTGGCAATAACTTTGCGTGCTAAAACATATCCATATTAATTAACATAATATATCGAATTAATTAGGATAACTATCGATATTTGAAGAAAACGAAAATAAAAACCAAAGTATTTAGAGAGTTCCCTTTTAAAGAGGTCGAACCATCTCTCGCGAATTTCTTAAAAAGTCACTTCATCGGTTTCTTCAACGACGTTTAACAATCTCAGACAAAATCAAACTCATTGTCGTCAGTTACAACGTCGCGTATGAAAACTTGCATTGTATATTGTATAAAAATATAATTACCATCGAATTCGGAATTGTTCGCGACATCGCACTGGAAGAATATAGCACGATTGCGGCCGAATTCTGCGTTCAGTACGTTCATCGCTTCCTTGCCAGCTACCTCCTCGATATCTATCATTGCTATTACCTGCAATTATTTTTCATTACGAGTACACGCATCCACGTTTAGCGTAAATCTTTTATATCTTTTCTAATCTCTGCAGCAGACACACTCCGTTAAAGTATTAAACTTTGTTTTATTTTCTTTCTGCAGTCATGGTTATCATAGAAGAGTTTTTGAGAAAAAAGAAAGTCCGTAAGATAAAATGGTGAATCGAGTAAACTGTATTGCAAGTGTTTTAGTTTTAGTTTTTTTTTATATCAACTACTTTTGAATCGATTATCATAGAGAATTCTCAAAGAACTTGGTTCTCTTCATACTTGTGAAAATCAAACGAACACGTCACTCTCGCAGAAAGTTTCTCAATGATTATCAAGTTGACAAGTACTTACGGATGCACCATTTCGCAGCAGTTCTCTGCTAATAGTCATACCCAAGCCACCAGCAGCTCCCGTTACAATGACTCTTTTATCCTTGATTTGCATATTTTACTATATTATGCCTTTGTTGCGAAGAAAAATATGAAATAAATAGCCGACACTTTCTTTTCGTCCAAAATAATATAAATACGAGAGGAATCGTGTACTCGGAGTACTGTAAATTATTTTCACCATGTGGTTCCCTTTTAAAAGAGTCAAACTTGTCGATCAAATACGCGGTATGGTAAACTTGAAACGTTTGTGAAACAGCCTCGCGCGATTTTCACTGCAAAATGATTGCTGTTTTAATTGTCTCATTTACGTAGATAGGGAAACGAGAGATAAAAGAATCTAAAGAGTAGCGCGCGTGAGAGAAAGAGAGAGAGAGAGAGAGAAGAAAGGAAGAAATCTAAAGGTGAATTATTGAAATTGAAAATCGAAACAGACAGTGTCTTAGTAGCTACTGGATGTGTTTCTGTACTGAAAGTATTTCGTATCGAGCTGATACGAAAGAAGTTGTTTTCGTGTCGCGATCTTCGACCTCTTGCGCGCCATCATGTTTAACGAGGGCACGAATCTTTCGTTATCCGCATCGATGATCCATTGCAAAACGTGACGTCCCTTGATCTTTATTGCTTACGAGAACCGCGAGAAGCTTCGACGTGTAGTTTAGCGCTTTTGGTCGATCTTTGAAATAGTTCTACTTAGTGGTAAGATTAATTTTCATTTTACTTACGAAAAAGTGAATATTTTTGTGACTTACAGTGGTGTATAAAAGTTTCTGGCCAGATAGATTTTTCACTTTATACTTTAAAGGCGATCTCCTATCAAATAATTTTGATCAATAAAGTAATTATATAGCAGCGTTTATTTCCTGCAATATTCTTATACTCAATTCTAGTTACAATTCTTAAAGATATCGCTTTTCGCATATAACGTGAAAAATCTATCTGACACGATAGGTTTTCGCTTTTAATAATTTATTTGTTTTAAGAAAAATGTCGCTTTTACGTTACGTATGCTTGCGTGTAGCTTGCAACTTGATAAAGTACTTCAAATACCATTATTTGAATTTCAGTTGTTTCAGAGGTTTTCTTTAAGTACAAAATGGGACAAATCAATAATACAATACAAAAGATCAGTTATTCATCTTTAGAGCTTCACCTCCACTTTTTTGAAAGGTGGAAACTCAACAGCGTATGGTGGTTTTTTGTTTTCAATAACCCAGACAGCTCCATTTTCACCTTTCAGGAGAAACTGTACCATGCCTCTTCCTACGTGTTGCGTTCTGGTGATATAAAAACAAAAACAATATTCTGTAATATCATTTATATTACATTAAGGGCATCATTTCATTTCCTCTATATTCAAACAACTTCAGATTATGTTCGAAACTGTGAAACGAAGTGAGTAACATGTGAGTACTTACGGTTGTACCAGCAGTGATTCTTGCATTGTTTTAACAGCATTCTTTTCAACAAAGTCTAAAGATTTCTCTGTTATTTCATCTAAAATCGACGTTGCTGTGGCACCAGGGCAAAGCACAAGAACACGAACGCCAGTTTTGTCAAAGTGTTCCTGAAACAATTGGTATAAACGTATAAATTTTTGGGGCAGTATTCTTGCGAAATTACAAAAAGTATTTCTATACACTGTCGTTATCCAATGAAACGTTACTTTTTTATCAGATTCCACCTTTCATTTACATAGCATTAAATTTGTTTATTCATACGAAACTACTGTCAAACGTTATGAAACGTAGTACATTTACTTATCAGATTCCATTTTTCATTTACATAGCATTCAATTTTTCTTTGTCATACGATAGTGCTGTCAAACGTTATGAAATGTAATACATTTACTTGGAATCTATTAGTATATAAATGCTGTAATAAATACGACGTACAAAATGGAAATTCTTGAACAAACCAATACATATACGGCTTACAATATATAGCTTGTATATAAGAAATTGAATCGACACAAAGTATTTAATGTATACTTGTTAATTCTAAATTTATATTTAATTTTCTGAAAATGAATCCTATGACAAAACTGGCAAAAATTATGGCCGCGAATCTCTATCAGTCGTTTGTCCAATCTGACAATATACATTTGTTTATACAGGGTTGATGTACGGTTAGTGTTAATTCAGCACGTTAAAGTAAAAAGGAAAATTCATATGAACACACACTGACTATCAGCTTGTTTTCGAGTTTTGTGTTTATTTTGTAATACGAAATTACTTAAATGTACGATTTCGTGGCAAACGGATGATAGATCGTGCTGGTTTTATTCGATTCATTCAATCCATAATCATTCGATCGAAAGAGAATGAATTCATTCGATTATTAGCTACGATGGAATTAAAAAGTCTCTTGTTTCTGATACGTTAGTTGATAGCGTTGAAAATCACCGTCAATCTGGCGACCAAAATTGCCTACAAATCGTAAAAAATTGTAAGCTGTTCGAACAAACTCGACGATCTACGACGCCTTGTTGGAAAGTTGGAACAATTTCACTGAACGTAGGTACGTAACTATTATAGGTAAACACAAAACAAGCTGTTATTCCAGAACGAGATCATACGTCGGGAATGTATTTATATGAACGCTTTTTTTTTTATTTTAGAATGCTGAACCAGCACTTATCGTTCTTTTTGTGTGCTCGTGAGTGCAGACTCACTTTGTATGCATTATAGTTACCTGTATGCAACGGCTGAACGCCAAGACAGTGTGTTTAGTGGTGCAATAAATAGGTAATTCAGAGAAGATTTTCAGAGCCATGACCGATGCGATGTTTACTATGGTGCCCCCTTTGCCACCTTTGTGTTTGCCCATATAATCCAAAGCGAGCAAAGATCCTTGGATTACGCCGTTCTTAAATTGAAACGATTGATCAAATTACTAATCAACATTAATACCGATTAACGTTATCAAAAATTAGTAATTAGAAATTAATGTTATTACCAATGATGTTATAGTGGTGTCATGTTAGTTTCTAAACTGAGTTTCCAGAAAGACGAACTCATCAAATGCGTGTTAACTTCGTTGCTACATTACATAAGTATACGATTAATATTCTATTGTGAGGATGATATAAAAAATGAAGAGAATTTGTGGAGAACACGAATATGCTTTCTGAATGGCTCAATTATTAGCGTAATTATTACTATGACCAAGCTACAAACGAAAATTTAAGGATACAAAGAAGTACAGAATGTACGTAATGTATGTAACATAAAAAAATATATAAAGTATAAATTAAATAAATAAAAAGTATGGAAGTATAAAGTATCGAAGGCAAAGAAAGAAGTACAAAACAGAGATCGATATACATCCACGGTATATCTAATAACTTTACGTTAAATTTAAAGTCCGTTTACAGATCTACAGAAATGGTTTTTCAGCTGTCATCTGAGATATAATATATTCAGTTGAAATTATTAAGTTTCTCTATAAACATCGTAAAAGCTATCCTTTGAAACCAGTCGATCGTCATAGTGTTAAATGATTTTTCAATTTTACAACATGAAACATACCAATGCATTTTTCAGAATAATTGTTTCAATCACCTTGTATATAATTTGAAGCTAATGTTAATCATTTAACCACATTTCTTTTTTTTATAGAGTTTTTACTTTATAAAATTTTTCGTTAATTATCTTACTACATCATTGACGTTGTAATTTTTCTAATTACATATATGATAATACAAAACATGCAAATACGAAATAATAATTTTTTTAACGCGAAGCAAGTAACGAACGATATTATTTCTCCGGTTTTATAGCATGAAGTATGCAAATTTCAGAATATGCTTATAAAGCTCAAGAGATCGACAGCGTTCTTTGTCAACAAATACTTTAACTTACTCTTCTCTACATCTCAACAGACTTTGTCTTTCGTAGAAATGTTGTACTTACAATATTCACGCCAATAGTTTGCTGCCATTTTAAGTCATTAAATAAACCAGCATTGTTAATAAGAATGTCCAGGCCACCCAGAGTGTCCCAAACTTTTTTGAAGGTTGCTGCAAAATTACAGTAAATCATAATCCGATGAACTGAGAAAGAATAAATAAATAATTATCCTTTCTTAATTGTCAATTAACGATACAAAGTAAAATTACATTATCACTGTTATGAAACGCGATTATCATGTTATAGTATATCATTAGTCAAGTTAGAAGTAAATTTGAAAATATATACAAATGTTACAGGATATTTAATACAAGTATATAAACTATCTAACTTCAAGCTATAAAGACAAATGACCGACAAGAAACTATTTATTCCAAAATAATGAATGATAATTGTATCTGATTTCGCACATTCTTTTGGTTGGTTTTTTTCTTTTTGGAAAATCACAATTATCAATAACAAAAGATTTGATCGATACGTTAAATCGAGAACCCAAATAACGGGGACAAATGACGTTATTTTGAAAAACGACAGAGAACGAATGCTATGTGCAGTAGCTAATTTCAAAATACCTTCGAATTGTTCAGCATTGCTTACATCACATGGAAAATATTTGGCGGTTCCTTTGCCGAATTCTATTTCCAATTGGGACACTGCAATTTCTGCGGACGAGATTTCTAGGTCAATGATAGCAACTACCTATAAACGATATCATTATTTTTAACAAATAATAAGACCGTGGCAGGAAGTGAAGATTTTCATGATTTATTTATGAAAGTTTACCTTCGCTCCATCTTGCAGTAATCTCTCAGCATAAACTAAACCGAGTCCACTGCCTCCACCGGTGATTAAAGCTGTCTTGTCCTGTACGTTGTTCATTGTCTGAAAAGAAATTTTTCCTCTTCATTATTGATCCGTGAAGAAAAGAAGCAAGAAAACAAGTGAAAAAGATCCTAAGCAAAGAATGTGTAACGTTCTTTCTTTCAGAGTTCTGACTTTGACTAATTTATAGAATTAGACTTATTAATCTTCTGCACTCGATGATGAAATATCACTCTCTTACATGCTGACTGTACTTTCAGTGTTCTTGTTTACGACGATACGAAGTGTGAGAATAGTATTTCTCGTTCGCCAGTTCTGTACGATATGTCTATTGCTTGAAAAGGTTTTATAAGGTAACTAAGATATATAAGATTTACGACAGAATCTTCCTATTGGTTGATTTGCAATGATAGTGATAGCAAGAAGTAGTGGGAGAAGATCACGTTTGTGACGTTGGTGGAAGACTACGGTATTTCTTATGTTTTCATATTATCATCTAGCATCTATCTTACGTGAATATGTATTTTGTACTCTTTTTCAATGTATTATTCATAAAGCTGAAAAAAAGAAAAGTTCATAGAAAAAGAATTCTGTCGTTACTAAGTTAATATTGTCCCTATTTAATTGATCAATAAATGGAAAAAATGCAAATTTTCGATTCGTCATTCTGTCTTATGGAGCTATTTTTCATGAAACATTTTTTTCGATTCGATTTCATTCGAAACAACATTTTCTGTTTAACGGTAATTGGCAATATGTACACTGAGTAACGATCATACTGTAACTATCGTTGGTTATCAGTGTCGATATCTAAACTGAAATAAAAAGCTACTGACTCGAGAACTGAAAATAAAAATGAAAATGAAAGAACTCGAATAACTCTGGATTAAAGAAAGAAACATCGATAACCACTTTCATGAAACACTTACCGTGGTTTTTGCAAAATATTCGGTTTTCCAGTAGACGATATAAATGGACGTTCGAAATCAAAGAAGGACTGATTACAGAATGAAATTATGTAAAATAATATATGTTTTGAAAAGATTAATATGGAGCAATGTGTTATATAAAAGGGCATATGCATAAATACGTAATTTCGATTAACATGTAAGAACATAGATATAGAGGGTTTTAAGTCGAAAATCTAAGTTATTTGCGTCGCTACTATAGGTAGGCAAATTTTACTAACGATAAGAAGCTTCCTAGATATTGTTGAAGGCTATCCTGGCAGTTCCCTGCAAAGTCATTCACATTTCCTTCAGTCGATCTACATATTCTTTCTTTATGCACCAGTCTTTGTGATATTCTTTCTTGTTCTCTCTAAAAAATATTAATATAGTTTTGTCTAAAAATGATTAGTTTGAGAGAGATATGTTAACCTTATTTTTATTGAAAGACAAGAAATGACAAGGAAACATGAACATAGGAATACCGTTTTGCGTCTTTGCTTATTTGTAAAACGATAGTCTAATAAAATCTAATAAAATTAGTCAGTCCTTATTGTTAGCATTTAACAGCAGAAATAGCTTGGATGTTCGATTTAAAATCAACGCCCTGTATATGTAGTAATCTGTCTTACTCCTTTTTCATCTGATCTTACACGCGCCTTTCGTAATAAGAATAATCATTTGATAAAAATAAATTGCGTATAGTTAAAATGAATAGAATGTATTTTTTCATGGTTTTATACTTTCATATATTCTTTTCTTCTTCTGTTTTAATTATAATGTACATTACATCACGCTGTTACTTGTAGTTGTAACAAACGGAGACACTTGAAACATTATATAATAAATAAATAATCATTAACATAGATTACATTTATTATCCTTTTAACTATAATTTTGTATTGAACAGTGAGATTTATTATAAATTTTCAGCAACGAAACATTTCGCCTGAAACGCTGTTTCAGACAATTTACATTGTCGTATTTTATATTTTAATATTAAGAGGGGGAATCCCAAAAATTTTGTCTAGCGTCTGCTTTCTGCTTGCAACAGAGATAGGAGTATTTAAAATATAATAAATTATGGAAATCACGCGTGTCTTAATACCAGAATGTATGATTAGTTCACTTCTTAAATTATAGAAAATTAAGAGAAAAGAAAATATACGTACAGAGTTCGCATAATATGCAAAGATATATAAAACATCCAAAGCATTTATAGTACTCGTTATACTATTTGCTAGGTAAAATAATTCTTTACCTAGATTATATTCTTTCAATTACATATCCAATAATACGAACGTGCATAAATATTATATACATAATCAAATAATAACACTTACAAAATAGTAAATATGAAATATCTAAGTGAATTATGACTCGATTGCTGTACATATTGAACTGATTATGTTAAGGGATTCAGTAAACAATAATTATCAATGTATATTTTCTTTCCTTAAACGTTAATGAAGAAGAAAATTACAAACAAAATTAGAAATTAAAGAGAAACACGTACTGAACTTACGTATATAACGGCGCTAGACTTGGATTTTTTTAACTTAATTTACATACATAACTACATATCAGAGTATGGTCATATATGTACATGAGCGTACACCATATATAGAGAATCGTGATGTCACAAAGATGGCGGGCAAGAAACGCGCGTTTCCAAATCATTCAAATATCGGTAAAGTTTCAACTTAATTATTTTGCTTAACAAATAAATATATATAACGAAAATATTATTAATATAAATTTTGAATGAAAAAGGAAAGATACAGCAATCGAATTCAACCGATTTTTGCTATTCATAAGTGAAATTAATATTTAATTGATAATATTTTAACTAGGTTTGTCCCTCTGGTTACATTAATGTTTATATAGGGACTTTTAAGGCGCTATAACTAGGAATTTCGATCGCGTATGCAGGTTGATTGTTTTCGATGACGTAAATGGCGCCGTTCTTCCCGTGTTCGATTAATTGGATAATAGCAGTGGCTACATGTTCTGGCCTGTTAACAAATATTATTTCATTCAAATAGATGCATTTTCTAATGGAATCAGACGAGTCAAAATATCACGTGTACATTGAAATTAATATGTGAAATAATTCATTGAACTATGATAATCTATTCTCGCAGATATAATAAGATAAGATAAGATAAGATATACTCTATATTTTTCAGAACCAATTATATTGTGGTAGTATTTTAAGTATTGGTATTTAGATATTAAGTAAATATTTTTTTTGAACACCAAACAATGATATGTTGTTTAATCAGTGTCCAGTATGAATGGAAAATGGAAAATCAGTAAAGGGAAAGGAATTTTAAATAAGATATACATAATTTACTTTCAGCAGAATTGAAATGATACGTAAAGAACAGGGAATTCCTAAATCCGAGTGACAAATAGCAAAATTTATGTGATATTATTTTCAACGAAAGCTGCAAACTTTGAAAGTTTTGTTAAGATGTCCATAAACTACTTCATCTGCAACGACAAAATAAATGATCTTTTTGTATGAAATTGAAAATTGAGGAATTGGAAATTAGAAATGTATAATATTGCAAATAAACATATGTTCGATGCTGCAGCTGTTTTTTCAAAAAATTCATGGAATTTTAATATGAAAAATTGTACACTCTGCTTACGGTTGTTTCTGCATGGTGGCCATTGCCATAGCCGCGGTTTCTTCGTCGAGAAGATCCATAGCGTGTTCTTTGGAGGACATAAATCTGGCAGCCATAGCTGTGGTCGTTAATCCAGGGCATATCGTCAGCATACGGATACCAGTTTTCTCATAATAATGCTATGTTGGAGAATAAAATGTTTTCTTTCAGAAATCTTATCCACAGAAATGGCACTTGTGAGAATTTTTCACTCCTTTAAGAAGGTACGCACTTACATACGTACATAGAAATTACAAAAGCTTATCGCGTAGATGTGTATGCTCTATTTTATTTTAAAAGTGTGACAACTGGGAAAAAATACATTTTCTGGGACATCTTAAAAATTTCAATTTCGTGTTTATTTTAACTTAGAAGATATCGCGAAGCTTTCAGAAAATATGTCCAAAACGTATCCAGAATATTGCTAGATATTTTTGAAATAACTTTGTATTGAGTACGAGACATAAAAGCAAAATAAAGCGCAAAGTATTTTCATGTATTTTAAATTTTCATTTTTTGTATATTGCCATTCAAAGCAGAATTTCTTTTGCTTTTTTACCTTCAACGACTGAGTGAAACCAACAATGGCGTACTGCGTTCCGCCATAAATTGGCGCTATAGGAATGCCCTCGAGGCCAGCTACAGAGGACATGTTTACGATGACTCCACCATTGCCACCCTTGTACTTCCCCATAATATGTAATCCCAAGATAGTTCCATGAACAATGCCTTTCTATCAACGGCAAACAAAACGGTATTAATCCTCAAACATCAATTATCGTGGATGAGATTATTATCACGATTATTATCACGATAATAATTGTCTTTTACTTTTACATATAGATGAAGTTAAACGAATGCCATCGAAGAGGCTGCTGATATTTCAATAATTTGAATAAGCTACTCGAAGTTCAAAAAATTAAGAAAGAAATTCGGTATTTGCATACTTTTTGCTAATTATGTAAATGAATTCGGAAAGCAGAAATTTTGGGCACGTGATTTCACTTGTCAAATACTGAATTACGGGGTAGGCGTGGAAATACTTGTTAGTCACGGTATCACCTTAAGTAACAAAAGTTATATATATATTTATTTATATAATATTTGTATGCAGGATGCAGAAATCTCTTACGTAGTTGACATCGACCATTATTTCCCAATCCGCGTCGTCCATAATGCCCGCGATGTTGACGAGAATATCTAGTGTCTCGTACATGTCGATAACTTTTTTGAACGATTCTGCGTATAAATTAAATTTAATGATAAATATTATTCATTCAAACGCTCTGTAAAGGGTAAATAAAAGTGTAATGTATCAATGAATTATTGGACATAAACTCCTACACTCCTACGCTCGATAAACATTAGAATTACACATGGATTCGTAAAATGCAAATTTTATTACGGATTAAATCATATTTATACTAATGGATAAAAAGTACCTAGATATACACAAATACATAAAAGCTACGTAAGCATTATACATAAAGTGCCATTTATCTTTTTATCATTTCACTCGTGGTAATTGACTTTGGAGTATATTATGTAACAATTATCTTCACGAAATTTTCTATTGTGATCGTCGTTTGTTTGACAACATTGATTTAGAAGAAAACGATCGTTCCATCGGTTCCAGCTTATATAGATTTATTTCAGTATTATGCTGGAACATGCTTTCGAGATGTATCGGTTATTATGATATTACGATTTTTCCTTTCGCTTTGTGCCCTCGTTTCTTACGACCGCGGTAATCGTATCTAAGCAATCTAAATCTTATCAAGAGATAAAGAAAACTTTAATAATTTGCAAGTACCTTTAAGTTTTTCGCTCTTTGACACATCGCAGGCGATAAAGATAGCGCGGTCTTTGCCAAACTCGTTGTTCAATTCAGCGGCTGCGCTCTCACCACCGGAATCGTTCAGATCCAACAGAGCTACCGTCTAAAATATATAAAAGTACACTTATCACGCACAGCTGGTTCGCTCAGAGAATTTGGACATTTACCATAGAACACTTCTATGTCCATACGAATTTGAAAAAATTGGATGAAAAAAGATTGGTAGGGACAGAAGGACCACCCCCAATCTTGTCTAATCGAAACACATGTATGATCGAGTCTCTTGACTCAATTTTGAATTAAAACTTCGTGTACAAAGTCAAACATAGACTCTACAGATAAACTTGACTTTGAAACTGAACTGTGACCCGAATGACTGTGATTATCGATGTAGTCGCTTGAAAATCATGTTTACCCCTATTTGACTTTCTTCTCCTCCCAGGGATCAGTTTGTCGATCGACAATCTCAGTCTTCTAGGGTTACCGATTGGAACGGTATTCCAAAAGAATTAGAATCTCAACGATCCTCGCGACTTCCCCATGGAATTCGTTATTTTCGAAGCAGAGATGAAGAATTTGTACGAACTCTTAGGGTGGTCCTTCGTACTGTTTCCGAAAATCTCTTCCAAGTGCTGATTTTAGACGTGCAGTGTTCTTACGACTTTTACCTGATCGATCGATAAGCTAATCTTATATCTTCTTTTTGAATAGCATCATCAAACCTGCAGATAAAATCGAGAAAAGCCTCTTATCTGATATTTATCGATATTATTAGTTATAATTGGAATTATGTACATACATACATATATTTCTCTATACTAATTTTAGAACACATTCTTTCAGATGAATTCGCGTATAGAGGTCAAGTCAATTGCGCGCGACTTTTGTGTTATTTCTCAATAAAGGTTTGCACCTACGTACAAAGCTACTTGCAACCAACTATTCTCAATCCTACGCAGCACTTTGGCCACGATGTTAAAATTAATTTATTAACTATTGTATATTTTAATTGATCGAAACTAATCATTTGGGATAATCAAGGTGCTGCAAATACTATAACATTATATAACATAACATGTGACATTATGTGACATTATATAAGTTATTGCTCCTAAATGGATTAAGACGAATAGTCAGGTTATGAGAGTTTCGATTCCTAACGCTGCTGCGATTTTCAACAACTTTCTATATTTCAATCTCACTCTCGTTCTATCAACAAACGTGATATTCAACATAGAACAATGATATTCGACATAGAATCGAGTATGCGTACCAATAAGTATGTTTCCATATTTTGTTGAAACTTAGGATATTTCCTAACGTTATAAAAATATAATTGCGTAGAAAATGAGCGAAAGAACATAACAAGATTAAGAATCGAAACTCTCTGCATTTACTATATAACCATCGTTGCTACAATTTATTAAGTTTTATTACCTTCGCTCCGTTTCGAAGGAGTTTTCGGGCGGCGCAGAAGCCGATTCCGTTCGCCCCGCCGGTGACAAGCGCGATCTTACCCTCGATGTTCATGATCGATCGCTGGCAAAGAAACGAATGTTTGCCCGTTTTATTTCTCACCAGATACGACGGTGGTTGCCACGGCGTTCACGCGCGAAACCTCGCGAATCGAATATATCTTGGCGGCTGGTTCTTACGGCGACAGGTGACAACGGTGACCGATGAAATACGAGAAATCGAGAATCAATCGTATCGAGATCGTATGTCTCTCGCGGTCATCTGACGGGTAACGTGACCGCGAATCTGCGGGTAAACAGGATCGAATTATACGCCGATCGATGGAGAAAAAATTCGGCACGAGGTGCCATGGTATCCGCAAACGCCGTGTTTATTTCTGTCGATTTATTGAGTTACAACGCTGCGTAAGAGGAGAAGTATTATACAGGAAATATTTATTTGCTCGCGAAAGTACGCATTAGGTTGGTGTTGCGACCTCTTTGAAAAGCGTGCACCTAAAACGTAAGTCGCGAAAAGTAAGCGACGACGAGTATACTCGTCAAACACAGAGTACGTGTGGCTGTTACAATATAGAATTTAGTTACAATGAAACGACTATTTTACATTTTAATTTTATTACTGATAAGGCTCGTCGTAATACAAAATATTGCCATTTCTTTATGACGAGTATACTCATTAAAAACAGCTAACTGTTACATAAGTATATGTGTAATCTTTCGATTTAAAACTGAATGAAAAGAATTACAGGTAAATTAGATAAGAAATTGATCAAAATTTGAATCTGATATATGGGATTATTCAAGGCGTTTCTAGAATCAAAGGAGAAGAAATACAGCCAGAAATTTAATGTCGAGGATATTTGAACCGATTATGAGGAAACTTTGCGAATGTAGAGAAAAAGAATATTTAATGAGATTGTTATATTAAATATACGAGTTTCTTATAGTTTATAATTTCAAATAGGATAGTGATTCTTAATGATTTTAACAATTATTATTCGAATTTACTTGATCCTTCGCAAGTGCTCCATTACGATAGACTTTTTATGGTAAATAACGTAACTGCAGCTTAAAATTAATTTTTTTTTCAAATTCTTGTATCTCATGGAATTTAGCGATTCGTGTAGACACATGACAAGATCATAACGCATCATACAATATTTTTGAGATAAAGTAAATTTGCACTGAACTTTCACTTGTCTGTCAGTATTTGCAAAAATGTGAATTTGTACAAATATTCATGGTGTAATCATTTTATTAGATTTGGTCGGTAAGGGACGAATAAGATGAAATGAAATTACGTTATGAAGATCACATTACGAAAAAAGGACATTCTTGTTTCCATTTTTGCAGTTGCTAATATTTTATTTTACAGAACTTTATAAAAATATTTGCACAAAACAATATAGAAAATTTTTACTTTGCCAGTCCATAAGCTCGATCGATATATTTGCATTTAGGATAGTTTGTAATAATGTATTAATGTATTTGTTATCAATCGCGAAATATACCGATTAATTAAAATCAAATATTAAGGCGACGATCGTTAAAATTATCGTATTATCGATGGATAAGAAATCACAGAAACTTTACGTGATTTATACTTATAGATTTCGCAAATATAATTGTAGTAGTATAAATGTAGTTTATCTCTAAAGAGGACGCTTCACTAAACTATCGAGTGTCTGAACATTAACGACATAAGGTGGTTGCCCATCGTGTACCAAACATATAGCGCCATTTCCTTCTCTCTCCATCAACCGGATTATCGCTTTGGCCACGCACTCTGGCCTATGAAAATGAAAGATTAGTACAAATTAATAATTATTTTTATATAATTCGCTAAACGTCTAAAAATACCGAAGGACCTTATCTTTCTCGCTTATTATTTTCAGTAAAGAAAAGAATAATCATTATTACGTATTTGCTTCAGAAAATTTTATTAGCAACATGAATACTTTAACGACAATTGCCTCGTGCTTGTTAAAAAATTATTACGTTTAGATTGTTGTGAGTTCAGTTGTATAAATATTTTACACTTCGATTAATAGATTAAACCTACTATATGAGTATTAAATATTAAATTATTATGATCCTAAGACGGCTATTTCATATTTCCTAAAATACTTACGGTTGGTTACCCGCTGTTCTCAAACACATCAACGCTCTATTAACGTTAATGAAATTTAAATGTGGATTTTCAAAGTTGTACAAGTTTGTGATGAAGGGAGTGTGTGTACGGCCAGGGCATATCAGCATCATACGAACGCCAGTTTCATTGTAACTGAGCTGTATAAAAGAATGGTATATTTTAAGCATATTTTAATGTTTCCTTAATTTAATCGATCGTTGTAATGTCGATATTAATTTTTTAAATATTGTTCAAATTATTTTATTATTTAATAGTATAATAATTATATAATATATCACGCTTTAAGTAACTGTGTGCGTGCGTGTGTGTGTGTGTGTGTTTTTTAAAGCTAGTTTTACCGCTAAACTATTGGTAAGTCCAACGATGGCATGTTTCGTTGCAGCATAAATTGGATAATAAATCACAGGTGTCAGACCAGCCAGGGAGGAAATATTTACTATTGTGCCACCTTTGCCACCTCTGTGTTTACCCATTAAATCGATGGCCTTTAGCGTCGTACGTACGAGTCCAGTCTGCAATGATTATTAATTAGCGTCGAAACGAATAGTTAATCGAATCACATAGAAATGAAATTGATCGACTCTATCGGGATTAGTTACTTGGCTGCTGAAAAATTCATTACAAAAGCAACTAGCCGAGTATTGTATTTATTTTTGCATATACGGTATCTAATTTTTACTAGTACGTCTAATTTCCCATGAATGCATAAACATCCACATCTATAAGTAATAGTTGAATTTATTTATTTACAATTTAAAAAGTATACGACGATATACTTACGAAATTCACATCTATCATGCTTTGCCAATTTTCTCCATTGGTTAAAACTCCTGCGCTATTGATGAGAATATCGAAGCTCCCTAACAATTGTGTGATCTTATCGAAGCTCGCTGTTTAAATTAAATCGATCTATTGATTTTGATATTTTTTTCTAATGAAATAAGCTTTAATTTACTCTTGTTACTTATCGTATCTTACCATGTACTTGCTCATCCTTTGTGACATCACAGGCGAAAAAATCCACACGGTGTGCACCATGCTGAATGCCCAATGTATCCGCTACGACTCTTCCATTTGAGTCTGGTAAATCCAAAATTGCCACGAACTGAACGAAATTACGAATACAATTTGAATAAAAATTACCAGATTTTGTACGAGGATATTTTTTTATTTCAGAACTTTCTTCGTTTTGGTAAATCTAATACTTGAACGAAAATAACCAGATCGCGAACGTATCTAACAAATTTAAATTTAAATTTTCATCCTTACCGTCAACCAAATTTTTACAGTCAACAAAGAATTACCTCAGCCTTGTAACTCAAAAACTGTTCAGCACAGGTGCAACCGATACCGCTTCCTCCTCCAACGATCACTACAACTGCGTGTTTCACATTCATTCTTTCAACACTCTTTCAATCACTTACTGGGAAAATTCTTAAGAATAGTATAATTACATATAATCAAACACTGTCGAAAGTTCAAATAGATTCTTTTACTCTGAATCGTTTACATTGAAGTTTCCAAAACATCCTATTTATAGGTTTAGTACTTGTGTACAGTTTTAGGTATATAAATGACAGTTATACAACATAGACTACGTTCCAGATGAAGAACTTTGGATGTGTTGAGATATTTTGAATTGAAATATGTCTACAAGTGATTAGATATGTAAACAAACAATAGTACTATATATATATCGTAGCTGGAAACGATATAGCGAGGTCGCAAAATTAAAATTTATACGCTTGCTGTTGAAACATCTTAGGGGAGATAAAAAGCTCGAGAACTTTGTTTAAGCCTGTACGATATTGTCACTCGGAACTATTTCCTCTTTTTAAACAGACAGGTAAATAATTCTCTTGCAACCCTGAGCGTGGCTAGATCGATCGGTATTACCGTTTAAAGTTTAACGTTTCAATTTATGATCTTACTATGTACGTATACAGCTTTCAGCTACATACGTATCTATATACATATATATAAATAGTTCAGTGTTTTTCAACCTTGAATATTTTGGGAGCAATTGAAAATAACTTTTATTGTTAATATCGCCGCGTATCGTAAAAAGATCTCTTTTCTACTCTTACAGACGTTTTGTTATGTAACATTTTTATGTAATACGTTGTTATTCTTCTGATTACCTAAAAGTTAGGTTACTTTCAATTTAAGCAAGTTGAACACTTTGCCGCGATCGTATTCGTTCGACAGCCAAAGTTATAAACGTAATTTCTCATATTTTTCAAAATTTATATTCAACGTAGACAAAGAAATTAAAAACAGTTTTGCCTATGTTTCTTTTTTCATTTCATTTGAAGTACGTGTCTATATTATACTTTAGCAGAATTTGCTTGATTATATATCATATAAAGAAGGAAGCAGTATCCAAAGGTTTCAAAAACAATTGACGACGATCATGGTGTACGATGATATTCGTTACTATTATTATTATTATTTTGAAGCGATTATTAATACTCGATGTCATCGAAGAATCGTTTATACACGTCAGTCGTATCGTGTTAATGGCAAAACTGTCGATGATTTTGTTGTTCAACATTTGTAAATCTTTTTCCTATACATATAACCAACGATCGACCTTAGTTTACGAGATATTCGTAACAATGTACTCTTCTTGTACGAAGGTCGTGAAGAAAGTAATACCCGTTTTGAAATAACAAGCGTACAAATACGTTTTAAGAAGATTTCTTGATTTGTAACTTTGGCATGCGTGACAAGTTATTTCTCAATACAACCATCGGCTCTACTTGAACATTCATCGTAACGATAATAATACGAGTTTCTCTGTGCCTTCGTCACACGTTTCCGTAGACAGTTCGGCATACTTTTATTATTATTTTTATCTCGAAATGATATAATGGAAATTATTAACCATACTCTTACGCAATCGTCCAAACCGTTTCTTATTTTGCGCAACATTATCGGTCAAGTTTGACTCTTGAAATTTTGCAAAAAACTGCAATGAATATCATTTGCAACGAGACCTTTTTGAACTTACATATCGCGTACAATTTTTTTGTCCGGATTGAATTCAATAATTCATCCATCCATAATAATTCAAACATCTATAGCTCTGTCACCGTTAACTGCTGTAAATCGACGATGAATTCTTTTTACAAGAATTCCTTTACAGAAGCATAAAAACGTCACCGGCGGCATTTTTAGTTCGCATTGTCGTTTTAAACGGCTGATACAACGACGATATTCAATATTTAAACAGAAAATTTTGTATGACTCACGTCAATACGAGAACGAAGCTGCATGACCTTTTGTAAGTGCATTTCGTCGTTTTACATGGCTTCTGGATGTAAACGGGTAGTACTTTTTGGACAACCCTCGTAGTTGTGCGTCCGTGGCAGCGCATAGGTCGGTATTGATTGTTCAAATCCAAATGAAATCTAACTCTTATCTTCCGTCTATAGTAAGCGAGGGTTGTGCGAGCTTAAAGTCCCGTGCACAACTGCGTACGCGAAGCTGTAAGAAATTTCTGTTATAACTTAATTAAACACGAATATCATCAACGTATTGGATTCGAATTTAAATTAGTTTCTTCGATCCGGCAGCCTTGCGCCAATCTTGACCCAATCGGAATTCATAGTGTTGATTCCTATAACGTATTTCAAAATCATCGAAATCGGAGGAGTGGCAACTCTTTTGCAATTTTACACGTGTAAATTATGCTACGTATTTGTTAAATCGAACGTTTAAATCCTTCCCTCCGTTGTATGATTTTGAAACCCGCATCTGATCGTAATGAAAAGATTATTTGTTGGTTATTGTTCTTATTTAATGAAAATCTGAATATTCGATCAGCTTAGAGAAAAAATAAGTATACGGTGAGATAAAAAATTAGAGAAAAGCGAAGGGGAGAGTTTAAATATCTCCAGATTTCTCAAATTTGTCAAACGATCGAAGGAATATTTTTAACTTAACTATGTAAATATATTATTTTCAATTGTTAAAATTACTTACGTTGTTGGAAGAGATCACTTTTTTTCATCATCTTTCCATTTCTTTTTTGCACACATTTGTTTTTGGCTGGGTACACACACCTTAGGTTCGACGCATGGTGGTTCTATCTTCACTGGACAAGGCTGTTATTGCCATAAAACTTTTTTATTCTTACGGGAAAATATAATTATTAATATGTAACGTGATATTAGTAAATAGAGACTCGTTTCTTAATAAACGTAAGTATTAGGTTGTCTAATAAGTTCTTAAGATTATCGTCTAAAATCTGTCTAATCATCGATGCATATCTTTCTATTATTTCTTGTACATGCATTAAATATTAATACTTTAATGTCAAATATCTGATATCTGATGATATATGTATTCGTTTTTCCTGCACCAAATCATATAATTCTAAGCAATATTCATTCGTACTTCCTGTCGTATGTTTACTGCAGATAACGATAAGAATAACGCTCCTATGATACTCTTCAAATTGTAACATCAAACGCATTAAAAGCGAGCTTATCGAGCAATCAAATGCGTAAGAGAAGAAAAGAAGAAAAAAAGAAAAGCAACGTAGATTGAAATAAAAGTTTGAAAAGGGATTGATTTTACTTGTGCCTGATAGACTTTAGGGTCGACTTGTCCACCTTCTTTCTCCGGGAAGTGAATTAATCGAGGAATTTGATGGACACTGATTGCTGGTTCTACGAGCCATGCACTTCCGTTCTTTGCCCACGCTAGTATGTAGCTCAAAGCAGTTCCTATGTGATACTTGCTGCACATAGACGTGTGTTCGTAAACTATTTTATACGTCTATTGATATTTTTATAAGTATAAATAAACGAAAAAATTAGAATAAATAACATAGAATAATATATCTTTCAATGGTAGACTGAATTTTTATTTCATTGCTATGACATAACAATAAATAATATAATTTATCTATATTTTATTAACGTTACAATAACATGAAAATTGTGTGAATTACGTTAATAATAACCATACGACGATGAAATTTAACTTACGAATGCGGTATACAAATTGGCATTTCGTTCATTATTTTATTTGGAATAGGTTCTGGGAAATCTGGTAATCCAATATTGGAGAAACATTTGGTCGTTGGACAAAGGGCCACAACACGAACATCTTTTTCTTCTCCTTTATAATTTTTCTTTAATGTAGAGTAAAACACATATCATACAACAATAATAGATACAAAAAGCACAAATAATAGATACAAAGTGAATATTTTCATTTGTACGATTATATAGGTAATGTAAGATACCGCGAAATCTCTCGTCACTTCTATAGCTGGTTCTTTGTTGCAATAAACCGGAAAGGGATCTTCAGGCCATCCCATGAAACCAAAAATACTCGCGCAATTTATTATTATCCCGTTCGAGCCAGCTTGATCCTTTCCTAAAAGCTCCAATCCTATTTGAATCGTTTTAGTTGTAGCGTTCTGTAAATTTTTGTGATTAAACTGTTTATCCTTATTGTTCGTACAATTAGTTCGCGAAAGTACTTACGCAAGCATCTTTTATGAATATTTTATATTTACGTGAATTTTTTTATGACACACATGTTGTGATATAATCTTACAAATGTTATGTTCCAAATATTTAAATACCTTCGTGAACCACTATAGTTAATTTTACTTCTTTTATCTTAATTATTACGAACCTGTTTCGAAGTCGACGTTGGACACTTTAATGGTGGTCGTTCTTTATCGAGATTGTTGAAAAGGATGTGAACCACTTTAAGCTTGCAGAGAGCGTTTGCCAAACCAGCTAAAACGATGATAAAATAAAGTTTGTCGTTATACTCACATTATACGTATTACTCGTTATACTATATTTTATTTCTTTTTTATTATTATATTTCATTGTCTTCGTCGATATTAATTTACCTTGAACGTGACAATCACTTTTAACGTCATAATGAACAAACAGAGCGCGATTTTTTCCGTAAGAATCGCATAACTTTTTTACTGCAATTTTTCCCTCAATAGGATCATCGTCAGCTACTACGACGACCTGCAATGTTCGAAAATCCGAACGATTAGCTTTGCTCCTCGCTTTGAATTTTGATTATCTTTTCTGCCAACGAAATAGACTTGTTTACAAGATAATTTACTTGCTTATACTCGAGAACGTGTTTGTTGACGACTACGCTATACTAAACATGATTAATGTATTGCGAATGTTTATGCAAGATTTCATGTTAAATGTAGATTAAATTAATGTAGATTAATGCCATTAATGTAAATTAATGTAAAAATGTAGACTACATCAAGACTTTGATTTTTAAACAAGACAACAACTTGTCTCAGCAAACAGATTTTACTTATAGAGGCTAGTTTCTGATATATCGACGTAAAATGATTTCAACGAGCCTTTAACATTTTTCTGGAATGAAACCTTTTCCTGAAACATAAGAGACAGACGGTTCTAGTTTCGAAAATATTCGCAAAAATCTATCGGTACCGCATATCGAATTCTGCCTATAATTATGCGTCTGTGACAGGGTATGCGTTGGTGTTGGTTACGGGTATCTTTATGATTTATAGCTGATGATCTACGGCCATGATCGTATTATGTGTTCGTGCCGCGGTGTGTCAGTATGTGTAACGATTTAATTTGCATATGCAGCGAAATGAGAAGAACGCAACTTCTTCGTAGGCGATGTGTTTGTTTACGAGACGCGCGTCTCGATGGCACGAGCCTGATTATCGACCGAAAATATTACAATTTGTTATTATTTCTTTGGGTTGCTGTGAGTCATTCGATAATCGTCGATGATGGTCAAGTTGTATACGTTATTAACAAAAGATAAGAGTTAGGTTTCGATTACGTTATTTTATTTACGCCGTGATCAAGATTAATGCAACTCAAGATTACGGACGATAACTAAAAGAATAATACAATGAATTTTACTTTGTTTTTTGTGTATTCGAACTCAAAATACTTCTACCAATACCAGTCAAAGTGACTGGTACTTGTCCAAGTGTAAAAGAATCTTGCAATCTGTTTATCGAACCCCAATTAATCAGTTTCCTCGTTTTGTACAACTTGCCACACGTTTTTTAAATTTTTACTGCGTATCATTCGATATGCTGATATCAGTTATCAAGAAACTTTCGGATTGATCGCTGAATCGCTAGATGCCAACACTAGAAATACCACACCAGTCAAAATGACTGCTTCTACAATTTCATAAATTTGTCAACCCTCGTTTAGGGATCATAGTCCCAGATGGATTAATAATACCAAAAATTGTATTACATAACATGGAATTGCTTCTGTAAGGAAGTAATAAATACCAAAATATTCTATTATTACGTATTTTTTAAAGACCAGTCATTTTGACTCTTTTTTTGGTTGAAATAACCTCGTGTTAATTATCGGTAGTTCTAGTGTTAAGTAACCGACAACGTATTAAAAAATCGTTGAAATCATTTTACGTTGATACGTGAGATCTCGTTGGAAGTAGAAAACACTAACGCGCGCTCCTTTACACAGGAGATGATCAGCCGCTGCAAAACCAAAACCTTCAGACCCACCGATCACTATAGCGTTCTTACACGAAGGCTCCAGAATTGGTTTAGGTAATTTCTCGCTAAAATTCCATTAAAATTTCGTTGAAGATATAAACATCAGCATCCGAACAAGATAACAGTGCTATACAAACGATATCGTTTATTTTAAATAAAGAATAAATAGTACGATGTTAAAAGTATCTTGGCAAAATATTAGTAATTTCATGGAAAATTACCAGATCGGTTTTATTATTTTTGGCCCGTCATCTCCTTTACCCTTTTTATTCTTCTTTCGATACGCTGTTGGAGTTGCGTGAAATTGACACCGTTCGATCTTCCACAAGCTTCTGAAGTAACAGAAGAAAACGCTTATGATCCAGTGGAGAACTGAGGAAGAACGAAGTATACACTTCGAAGATGATGAAACGAAGGTACGTCGTTATTATTTATGAGGGAAAATATCAATATTCAAGTAGTTTACTTTGGACTCTTATCCAAAAGGTTGATGAAAAGCGAGGTTATACATCGTGATTGCATGTTGAAAATTATGTTGAATCTTTCGCCGTAATTACTATTACAATGCCACCATCGTTAAATAAAACATTAGAGAAAACAGCGAAATTAGTAAAAAAAGAAAAAGAAACAGAATCAAAAGGGCAAACGATAAATCTAATACGAGTTGAATGAGACAAGAATTTAAAAACTCAAGTCGAAAGTTGGACAGCTACGTTTCCGATATGCCAAAGTCACGTGTAGTTGTTTGTTTTTCTCTCGATTAACTCGTTAACGATATATTTCATTTTCACTATCTATGAATCATTGAATTAAGGAAAAAGATAAGAAAAAAAGTCGCTGATTAGGAAACGAAATTTATTAGGAAATCGATTTAATTGGAATATTTGACGAGGAAACGAACTTGTTACTTTTACGACTTAATAACTTTAAGGTATTTAAATTACTCTAATGCTGATACTATAATTGAGTGGTTTTGTAAAAAAAAGCTATGCATTTTATTGGCTAGGCTTGCAACATACATTTCCAGCAAATTATAACAATTTCCACTAGCTATCGATCAAACTGTCGTGTCGATAAAGATCGTGCGATGTTATATTTAAAGGTGCGGCTGATCTTCGATTTTAGATCCTGTGGATCCGCTTCTTGTTCTTGATCTCAGATTATACGTAATAATCGTGTAATAATAATAATTTATATAACGATTATAATCTTTCAAAAATTTACCAGCTATTGTATTGCTTTTTATTATCAAAAATTTCAAGAATTTTTCACATAACGGAGAACATCGTAGTAAAAAATAATATGAATATAATATTAATTGCTAAGTACGATGGTGGGGACAGATTCTTAATTTGATTAGAGATAGACGAGGGATAGATTTTCAATTTTCAAGAGAGTATAATCGTTCCGAAGAAAATGTAATCGGGACAAGAGAGATGTTAAGGATGTTCGATGGAAGAATGGACGATTAGAATGTATAATAATTATGATTTTTCGTCGAAGACGTCGAGTTTAGGCCTCGATTTCACTGCATCTAAACCTAAGTTTCTTCGTTTCTTCTTTTACATTGGTCGTCCCCGTGTTTACGAATTTGTATAAAATATTACACGCACGATTGATCGTTCTGTTCTTGGACAAATCGTTTGAATCGGTTTCTTTCGTGATAATAAATCTATCCTCTCGATCGGTTCAGTCGAAAGTTTGCATAAGGTAGTCGCAAACGAGGGACTCGATCTTACGCGATTATCGATTTTATTTTATAAATGTAGAAAATCGTTAACTTATGGATGGAATGAATTTTGTTCAGTTTCTCAACGTTCTCAGTATACATTTATCAATATCGTATTAACGTACTGGACTGGAACATATCGAGTCACGCCCGTTTGCAGACACTTTGATACGTAATTTATTGTGATCGAGCAATTAGAACGGAGTAGTAGAAAATTTAAAATGTTATTCGATCTTGACAACTACCATTCATTTCTATTGATATTCGCTCTTACTGTTAGTACATTATACGATTGCTTGCATCCAAGTTACAAATTGGACAGTTTAGTGTGTTTGAGGTAAATTCATTTATTTTAATTTTAAACGGTTAATTATTATTATTATTATTATTAATATTATCATTATTATTATTTAGTTCGAGTCGTTTTATCGCTTTTTCTTGCCTTATTACGTTACTATAAGCCTAACTTAAAAAACGCTTGTACATTTTGAACATTGAAAATTTTTCAAGTCCAAAGATCAAAACCTTGTTCGATTTTTTTTTTTTTTTTTTAAATGGCGCAGATTATGTTACGTATCTTTACACGAAAGGTGTTACATTCCGGGAAAAATTGATTAATGATAATAATCGTCGATAACATGAAATTTTACTTATTTTACTATTCAAAAAATATCGAACAAAGTTTAGTCTGAAACCTCCACCAGTAAAATATCTAATCGGCTTGTGTATCTATTATTAAAAGATCGGAGACAGGTTTCTTCAAAGGGCTTAGGGAAGGTGTGATAAAATTCATCGTACACCTCTTTAAATATTACTGCCAACCATTGTACACGACTATCTAAGCAAAGTCCTTTGATTTTACAATTGTTTATGAAAAATGGTTAGAAACCTGTTGTGCAGAGTCGCGCAGTATAACAAATATGTATAAGTAAAGAGTGTTGAGGATATATTTTACAAAGTATCGAGTCTTATAGGGAACACATGGCAATTGTTAAACAATATAAAATCCAATATGGTGATTCTGATTTTTCATTTTCATCGAAAACGTTGTTCGTTCGACCAACTTTCGATTCACAGCGTATATTTAATTTTTTCTCGACATTTAAATTAACGCGTTGATCGCCAAGGCAGTTCGAGCTGACAGTGCATTCGAAGATAAAGTGAAAAATGTTAGTTTCACGTGTTAGATATACAATTTTGGTTTCATTTTTATATCACGTGATTGTTTAGATTTTTAGAAATAGCAGGCTTCTAATGCCTAAAGATGTTAGGGAGGTACATAATTTAAAGTTTTCATTGCAATTAACAATTTTTCATCAGCTTGTTAGAACCATTAATTTTCAGGTATTCGTAAAAATTGTTTCGAAAAGCGAACTACTCACTAGGATAGACGTGCCACGATTATTCAATTAAATTACACCATCCAACGATAGTGTCAATTCATAAAAACTATAAAAATCTGAGAACTATCAATTAAATGATGAAAGGAAGCGAAGTTTTTCATCGTTAAACGATTGAATAATTAATAATCTTGTGTTTTAAATCGATTTTCTCAAACAGTTGACGTTTCTTTAGTTACGTCATTGGTCTGAAATGAACATGAAACGAAAATGATAAATGTCAAATGTGTCACTCGACGACATAATTGGGAGTATTCTCCCTTTTCACGTATCGTTATAGAAAGAACGATTCGTATAAAATGTATAAACTTGTTTTTCTTAAAATGCTCACATCGTTACTTTTCAATCACGTGATTGTTGTAACGAATGAACACAAGATAACATCGAAGGTCCTCGATTTCTATGTAACGTGTATAAATAACGTGGCGATAAACGCGTTAATGAGAAACTTACAGCAGTGCATGACTTCTCGATTTATAGATTATCATTTGCCTCCTTCAGATTAACATTGTGACGTGCCATTATTGAAGAATTTCCTGTGAATTCCCATCGAGTACACTCTCGAAGGAAAATAGGAACGGACACTCGAGAAAATCCCGTTAAATTATCATATTATAATTAAAACGAACGTTATTCCTTCTAAATCTAACACGAACGGATAACAACGTACAAAGAAACATTCTCATCGTACTAATTGCCTTCCGTAATCTTTGGCAATAGAACTGATGCATCCTTACACCTAAACACGTGTTCTTCATCCCGCGTAGCATTTCACGCTTCCTCGATGATCGATCCTTAGGTCGTTAACTCGAATTTACCGTAAAATTTGAATTGCAAATAAATTTTAGCTTGTGGATACCAGAAATATTCTGGAATATTTGCTTTTCCTTTTCTTTTTCGTAGCGATGATGAGAGACGATGAGAGGTTTTGTATGTGGTACGGCACAGCTATTTGAATTCAAGCGAGTAAATTCACGCGAATCGTGACAGTTAGGATCTTAGTTTTTCGGGAATGTGATCTCGTGAGGAGGTTGGTCCTTCTCCACCAGCCAGACGCTTCCACTTTTGCCTGTGTTTAGAATCTGGATCAGCGCTTTAGCTACGTGTTCTGATCTGTAACATATTAGATCGTTTAGTGAATTTTATAATTTTTGTTTAAGGTTTGTCAATATATATATATATATATATTCACGTGTAAAATATTCAAAATAAAATATCCGCTATAACTATTTGTAGGTTCAACAAATTTCTACACAGAGAATTCCTATTCAGTTCTGTTGTATAAAGATATGGAACGTGATGAAAATCTACAGTCTGTTAACGATCTTTCGAGGTGAATATGAAATTATTCATTGAATAGCTGTAAATATCTCAACATATTTATTTTTAACTAGTCACGAGTAAACTTTTGTTGCCGTGTATAAAATTAAGTTCGCGTATGTAAGACAACAGATGTATAAGCATTTTAATAAATATTTTAATATCTGCTATCCCTAGAAATAATTTCCTTAGTTCATTAAATCTGGCTAGCTAAGGCTACCTTTTATTTTTTCTAAACGATAAAAACGATATTTCTTGCTATTCTTAAAATTGCATCGGTCCATAAATATTTCAATTATTCCAATAATTGACAGAATGCAGAATGGTAACATGACTTCTGTTGAAAATATAAAACAACAAAGACGCGGCAGTATCCTATAAACGTTAGAGTAAAACGAAATCTGAAAATTAACCTTTACTATTATATTTTATATTTGGAAGCTTGTTGAAATATTCCATTGAAATTGTAAGATAAAGCAGCGCTACAGAGGAAATCTGTGCTGCTTTTACAATCGAAATTTTAAAAATGTTTCGGTTTATGTTTCAGCCGACTACCAGCGTTTCTAATAGCATAGAACGCTGTTCAAAGGGATAAACGAATTAATAAGAAAAGGGAGGAAATAATTTGATATTATAGTTTAACGACAACCATAGTCAAATAATAAGAGTTTGTGTATAACATCGATCGTATATGTATTTATAAAACTGTAACAGCCATTTCCGCGTAATTTCACTTTTCCGCTATACTGTAACATCTATAGATACAGGGACATATCGTAATACAGAATATTAAGCACAGAATAAATACACAATAAAATCAGATTAAGAATTGTTTGCGATTTAATGAATTTAATCTAATGTTTGATTAGAGATTTTAAACTAAATAACTTGACAATTAAAAGCTAGATGATGATATAAGAAGCTATAAGGAGATTGTGTAATATCTTAATGCTAATATTATCCTAACGTTATCATTCTATTTGATAAAGAGTGTGAATTATAAAATATTCCATTATCATGATTGGAAGTATTATTACCTTTGAGGAACTGAACTGGCGACGTCACGAAGCCAAGCGTCTACGTATCGAGGCCAAAGCAATTGTTTACTGACATCTCCTAATAATTTGCTATCTGTCGCGCTTGGGCATAATGCCATCACCTTCACGCCGGTTAAGTCCACGTGGTATTGGTGCTATGGCAAACGACAACAATATCAAACTGATTCCCACGATTTCCAAATCTTGTAAGTTAGATCAAAGATAAATGACGATTTTTATACGGAAAATCTATATATACTGGATATTTTTGAACAAGTATCTCGGAGATTTTGCTTGAAACTTTCTGTAAAAAAGGATTTGAATTGATCGAAAGGTATCGTAAAATAAGAACATAAATACATCGATCGATTTTTATCCCTGTGACATCAAACTTTATAGATTTAGATAAAAATGAATCATGATGTTCGTGTAAAAAAAGAAGGAAGTCCTGAATTGTAAAATAAATACGATATACATGTATATGTATGATATCTATGCCTTTTGATAAATTGGATACAATGTAATTTATGACATTCGCGTACAGAAGTGTCCTAAATTAAACAAACGTAATGTCTCTCGAGGGAATCTCGTGTAATGCACATGCATATGTAGAGATAAGTACGTATCTATACATATAAACTACATGTTACTAGAAGATTATTTATCTCTCGTATTTTTCCATAATAACTTTCTACGATTGTCTTCTTAGCTCGTGATCTATTTAACGCGTGAACTACGAATGCAATTTTATTATTAATCATCGTCAAAGTTAATTTACCCCAAACGCTCTGGTGAAGTTGACGATTGCCGCTTTGGTGGCAGAGTAAATTGGAACACTCGCATAAGGGTTGATGCTGACGTTGCTTCCAATATTAACCACTATTCCACCCTGGCCACCCCTGTCCGTTCCCATAAATCGCTGAGCGAGCAAAGTTCCGCGGATCACGCCATTCTGCAATAATTTCAACAAAGACCTCGTGCAGATAAAACAGAAAAATCAGGAGGAAAAGGAAAGAGCGTCGAGAAAGTTTAGGAAGGTGTTGAATATTAAATACTCACAACGTTAATGTCCACTTCCAGTTCCCAAAATCGATCGTTCATTATTCCAGCGTTATTAACAACGATATCGATGTGGCCGAACGTCGCGAACGTTGTTTGAAACGATTCTGCGAATTAAAATTAGTACGTTGCTCTGACGTAAATTAAATAACTATGTAAATTTAATTGCGATGGATTTCTGTAGATTGAAATTAATCAAGTATAATAAATCAAGTGCACGCGTGTGTATGTAGATTGAATGTTTAAGATTATACTTTGCATTATGAATATTGAATATTAATGTCAAATTTTACAGAGTTTAATTTTATTCAGTATAAATGGAACCTGGATCATTAGAGTATAATTATATTTTTATAAATAAGTTACACGCGTGTTGATAGGTAGAAAACGAACGTATGATTTCCATTTTAATAATCGATAAATCAGTTAGATTTTTCGCATTATACTCTGAAAATTTCAATTAATATTGTAATAGGAAAATATTTACCCTCGAATTGCGAATAGTCTGTGACGTCGCATTGACAGAAGATCACACGGTCTTTCCCATGTTCCGTAGACAGAGTTTCTGCTAATTTTTCACCCTCTTCTGAGTTTATATCGCATATAGACACCTATATATAGAAAAATGTAATGTATAATGTAATAATTAGAATAGAATAGAATTTTATTTAATAATGTTTTACACGTAATGCGTGGTAAAACGAGACATTATTGCCAGTAACATGACGTATTACTATTCCGTAGAAGTCGGTCAGAAGCCAAGATAAAACTTCACTGGAGAGCGATCTAAATATACGCGAGATAATTTTTAGCATAAGGCGTCGAAACATTCATGGAACGGTATGCATACTAAGTCAAGGTTACATCCTTAAGGAGGTTTCGCGAAATATAAGTATAAACTCTGTTGGTTCCCCTTAGCCCTCTATTAATACGAATTTTTTATAGCTACTACGTGCTATGGGGTAAACCCATATCGCTACTTCCCTTAATGAAAACAGCACTGTAAAAATTTCATTGCTACTTCACGCTATCACGACTGAAAATACGAAGCTTCTTTCTCGATACTTTCATTTCGTATCATTTCGTTTCTCCTTTTCTTTCTTTCTTTTTTATTTTTTTCTTTTTTTACTGTTTAAAAATTTTTCATTTTGAGATTACGAAGTGCATTTTATATGTTTGAATCGTATTTCGGAAAAGTCGTGATATATTTTAAGGTAGCTCGGATAAATAAAATCGGAAGAGGAATTTAAAATTTGTTTAAATAAATAGACAAAATTACATACTTTCGTTATTTATGAAATTTAATAAAAGCTTGCAAGAAACTGTTTCGTAGATATCAAACACGGTAACTTTTTAAATTAAACGGAAGCTATGGAAATTTTTCTCTCGCGTTAGTTTTACATTGAATATTTTCCTTTTTCTCTTTTTTTTTTTTTTTTACTCACCATCGCGCCTTCGTTTAATAATTCCACGGCGCAAGATTTACCGATACCGGAAGCGGCGCCCGTCACCAGGGCAACTCGCCCTTTTACGTCCATCTTCTACAGGCCCTTGTCAATTATCCGTCTGTAAATGAAAAAACACGATACCTATATCGTTCTTGAATAGAAATAAACGTTTCGTTCTTTCAGAAATTATTTGAAAAATATTTACACTAGTTGTTTAACGATAGCGAATATAAATTGACAGTAATAATTATCATGTAAAAAATTGTATACCGTTTTATTTGACAAAATGTATTTTATCGAGAGAAGTTTCAATACACCTCATTACCTAAACAGAAACATTTACATGGATCAATAGTAATTTTTTTCAATCGATAGAGATCAAAATTCTAACACGTAACATGTTCGAAACGTTCACAGCGAAATGTAAGGTAAATACGACAAATTTTCAGACAATGTGTTTTTTCAGAACTTTTTACACATTTTTTATACATAGCTATTATCTCCTTAGAATTTATAAAATTTGTATGAAATACTAAAATCGTATGCATCGACATAACAGCAATAATCTTGTTACAATGCCAATTAACTTTACATAAAGGATTTCTATAAACTGTACAAATCGTTCAAATACTTTTACGTATTACTGTGCGTCAACTATCGAAGAACGCTTCTAACTTTCTGAAAAATTTAACATTTTGCAAACCAGTTTCAAAGGAATCAATTTGAAAGGGCTGAAGTCAATCCGACGCGTCGGTTTCATCTTGAATCCGTTTTGAAAAGCACGTGCAAACGACTTCTGGTCTGCCGCGACGTGTGATCGGCCACACGGGTGAAATCGAATTTTACCGTCTCGTTATAACCATTTCGTACTCGACTTCCCGACGATGGGGATGCTCGTTCGGAAATAAAGGCGCCTGACTCACTGAATCCGCTTCGAACGAGTCGTTTACCACACGCTCCGACTGCCAGACTCCCGCCATGCTATGTCTATCAACTACGAACTGAGAAATTCATGAGAAACTACATCGTTCGAAATGAACAGTCGTGTAATTTCAGTTTTTTAAGCAATTTTAAGTATTTCAAAAAATGAATACATACAGCATTTACAGCATTTATTCTTAATGGAGAAACTTGAAATCTGAATTTTTCTTAAATGGGCTAACAATCGTAGTAGTGTACGCGAAGATTTTGAACATTTGTATTTGGATAGTTAAGTTGTCAGAGTATCATTTTTTTACTTTTATTGTTAATTGGGTTGTCGCTTTGTTGCGATACTTTCCCGCGATTCGAAAACGTATTTTTCACAACAATAAAGGGAAGATACTATTTCATGGAAAATAGCAATAGACTGACTTGAACCGTGATAATTTTTAGGGCTTTATATTTTAATAGTAACAGGATTTGATCATTTTAAATCGTTTTTAAATTGTTAATATTTTCGATTGGGAAATTTAACGGATGATATTTTAGGGAATTGGAAAATGCGACTTTGTATCTTAGATTGTTAAAACTTTTACTTTACTAAATCATTGAAGCGTATTTGTAACGGTAGAAGTAAGAAATTAGCGAATATAAGTTTTTACTATACATTTCAACAGTGATATCTAAAAACTTTTAAGTAATATTGGATATTGGGTATGTTGGATACTGACTGGAAATTTTTAAACATGCTAGCTTTACAATTTTTAGATAACTGTAACACACAATATAATAGTGCTTATTTAGTGTGTATAATAGCGTTTATTATCTATCTAAGCTTCGAATTGGAGATTTTACTGCGAGTTTACGAGGAAAATATATGGTAAATTCGGTAAAACGGTGGTAGTTTTAACGATTCTTTTAAATAGTTGAAATTTAGCATGGTTGAAATGTGATTATTCTACTGTTCCCCGTGAATCATAGATTTTATCTTCTTTCAGTAATTTACATAATGGGAATACATTCTGTTAACTATAGTTTGGCCAGGCAAAGTTCTGTTATGGTCACGAAACACGAAAATTCGTCTTTTAGACATCGTAAAAACACACAAAAACGATGCAGCTCGTTCTCTATCACCTGCTGTAATACAAAAGTGATTATAAAAAAGGGATTTGCGTTTATAAATAACTAAATAGAAGGGGACTTAAAATGTTCATGCAATTTCATATATATTTATAAACACGAATAAAGAAATTAATAATTAAAGAACCGAATTAGAAATCTGTCTCAACCATAATATATTACGATAAGCAGCTGTATCGCTTAAGATATTTTATACATTTCCCTGTATGGAAAATCAGACTGTTTCAATGTTGAGAAAATATCACGTATTAGATATAAAGCAAACTACAAACTTTCCAAAATTTTCCATTTCGTATCAAATGCAATTCATAAAATCAATTGCGATAAAACCAACAAACACAAATTTCGAAAAGAAGAATACGAATACCAACGATCTCGAGGAAGAATAAACTATCAAATACCTACATGCAATATGAAAGTCGAGGAAACTTTCTCTCGCAAACCGCGACCCGGGATCGTGAAATAAAAAATTCACCGCGTTCTCTCGAAACCTCCACCTGACTTTCTACCACGCGTCAAATAAAAGGAAGAACAAAGGGCGCAAGAAAACGTGTAACACAAAATAAACACGCAGAGCAGAAGATACCAGCAGCGAGTTGTGAAAACAGAACGAGAAAGAAAGAAAGAGAGAGAGAGAGAGAAAGAGAATGTGCAGCAAGAGGAATTTCACGCGGGCAAAGTAGAGGATTTCAAACGCGCCCCCATATTGTCTGATTCAAGCCTCTCGCGACAGTGAAACAGCATCACGCAGCTTCGTTTAATATTGCAGACGACGTGACACGAGGTACGAGGCAGCTCGTGTGTCTGGTAGCCGTAGATAAACCTACGAACACGTTCCGGCCAGAGAGCATCAAAAAGGGCCGATCTAAAAAATTCACGACGAGCTCGATCGCTCGATATCCGGCTGGAGAACCGCCGCCCGTCACGGTTTACCACGCACCTCTTCTCCACTTTCACCTACGCTGCCTCCTCGAAAACACTCGACCACCATTAACCCTCCGTGTTCCTACCGTCTTTTCATCCATAGTGCATGTACATTATTGTCCGTAAGTAGTTGCACGATTCCAAATCGTTGCAGATACATCGAAATGGTTCTGGAAATTCGCGATACCGTTCAGATCAGAGGGATTCTATAGCACGAAATAATAAGACGAAAAGCAAGAATACTGAAGCTATATTGGAAGCTTGGTTCCCGAGGAAATTCAATTTGGAAATTTATCAGGCATACGTGAATTTGTCTAATCTCGATCAGACAGCAATAGACGAGAGATTATTTTACGTGTGAAAATAAGTGGGAAACGTAGCGTACAGTTTTTTTCGTTCAACGCTCTCTTTTCTATGTTCAGATATTATATCATATATTTGTACGAATGTTTCTGATAAAGCGATCAGTGTTGAAATATTATCGCGAGCCATTGTACGATTAGTATTCCTTGGTCTTTCTTTTTTTACGTTCTTAGTCCGTGTTCTTTTCTCGGAGAAGACAAGCGGTCCTCTGGGGACAAAATTTCCCGTCGAATGGCAAAGAATGGCAAAGAATCCAGTTCACGGACATCGAGTGGTCCCGAGACAGTAGCCTCGAATATTCTTCTATTTTTTAAGGATACTGTGACACTGAAATTTCTCTGTTGGCGAGGTAAAATAAGAGACGTCGATGGAGTTTGGTTTTATGGGACTTTCGGTCAGAATGGTTGATGCGAGAAAAGTTAAAACCTTCTTCGATGCTTTTTCGGTGCTCTATAAATTGTTTGAGAAATTTGTTAGGTTTAGAATAGAAATAAAAATCGAAGAAAATCACCCGTCAAAACATAACAAAATTACGATATATCGTATATACTTCTTTATTTAATAGTATTCATCCAGTACTAGTTATATCTAATTGTATTTGGTATTTGTTTTTAGTAGGAGAATCAAACGAAACTGGATAATTTGAGAAAGACGTGTTTTAAGTAATTTTCGCGATATGTAATAAGAAATATGGAGGTACTTGTTCTACTATATTTTATGGCGTAACGATGATTTAACGCTTTAATGAACGAGGTACTAGAAAGATTAATCTTTGTATTCTAACAACGTCAGATAAGATAAAAGAAAAGAAAAAAGATCTGTATCCGCAGAACATAGATAATATTTCAATTTTCAGCAAACAAGTTCACTTTCGCATTTCAAATTAAAATTATAAATTTATTATAACTCGCGAATACTTTTCACGCTATCCAAAGAAGATAAAATCAACCAACGTGATACATCTTCGAAATAATATTCGTGTAACTCGTTATCCGTAAACACGTCGCGGGATGACTCTTAAAACTTTCACTGTGAAGACATTTCCCTCAAATTTTGACTCGTCTTTCGGCACTAAGCGGATTTATCTTCGCAGTCTCTACTTATCTATCCTCTTCAATTTTTATACACGCTTATAATTTCGTACTTCTAACGCACGATTCTTTTGGGAGTTCTAGGTTTTTAAATACTTCAAAACTTTTCACACGGTCTCCCTCCTTTCGTACCTAATCGTCGTTCGTCAAATTTTTGCATCTTTTACGTTGTAAACTTTTCGTAGCTCGCTAAAATCCCGTAGAATCTTCATTCCCTCTCAATTCTCATAAAATGCCAAATGAAACCGCTACAATTCTACCTTCGAAATCTCAAAATCCCAAATCCGTCGAATTCGAAGCGAAACAAATTCACCAAGAATCAGGACCGAGCACCTTTAGAGTGATTTCTTCGAATACCATCGCGATTCTACCCTGAAAATAGTGATCAACAAGCGAGGCTCGTTTACGTTGCTTCGAAATCTACCAGGTATCCTCTGGCAAGACCCAACATTCTCGTAAAATCGAGAACGAAAAAGCCACCACGATTCTACCCCCGAAATCGAAACCTGAAATCCACCAGCCAGAATTCAAAGCGAAACAGATTCACCAAGAACCGTGTGACAAGCATTCTTCCTTCCAAATCCACCCCTTTTGAAGCTTCCATCCCTCCCTTTTTATTTTCCCTCCGTAACGAGAAGCGTAAAAAAAAACTCCCCCGCACTATCCACCCAGGTACCTTGCACTTGTGATGATCCTTCCTTCGACGAATCAGCCGTCCCGCAACAGGCAGACCGCGTCGAAAGCGAAACGACCGGTCGAACGACGACGACGGGGTGCTTTGCGAGAGGTGTGTGTGTGCGTGTGTGTGTCTGTGTGTGTGTCTGTGTATGTATGTGTGCGTGGATGCGCGCGTGTCTCTCGCGAGCTGCTTTCCTCGACAAGGTGTGGTTGACGGCCGCGGACGCACTGGCTGCTCCGTCGCTTTTCACTGCCTCCCCGTGAACGCACACACCCCACAGTGCCTCGATATTGATTGGCGG